CTAAACACCAAGCCGCATGGAACGCTGTTACCTTCCCACCGAAGCGGTACCTATTTATCTACTTGCAGTTTCTTGCTTTCAAACTGCTAGGTTGGCAGGAGCTGGAACTAGAGACGGGAGCTCACTCCGTCATGCGGCACACTTGGGTCTCGAGTTAGGGTGACCGTATTTTGAAAAGCAAAAGAAACAGCGGGCATATTTCCCGACTGACTACTTCAAACCAGTGATCATGATGACATACCCCGACTATTTTTAAATACCCCGACTATTTGAGCTGTGGTCTTTGCTGCTAACCGCCCTGAGCTGGCCACGGCTGGGAGGGCAGGGTATACATATAATACAAAAAATAAAATATCCCAGGAAACTGAGTTATTTTCCGTTAACCTGTTTAGGAATTTTTAAAATTAAATTATAGTTTATTAGAAACAGGAGCATACAAACTTATTCTGCGAATATAACAACAGTAACAGGTGAGTATAAAAACACAAAAAGTGTAATAGGAGCAACAATGATAAACAGATACATGACTACACAACATCTTAAGCAAACAGATCTCCGTATCAATTAGGGATCATTATATTCCTTAATACTATACAAAAAAATGTTTTCAAAGCAAAAACCAGAATGGTAGCCTTTATTCCTGGTGTCCAGTTACTATAGGGAAACCAAGAAAGAGGTGATGATATGTCATAACAGAAAAGCGATTGAACTAATCACTTTTAGGCCCATTTGTGTAATTGTGACCATTCATCAGAAATAAATTGATACTGCGACAAGAAGTCCAACCTGTTTAGGAATGAAAGGAGGGAGGGTGGCAAAATTGCTTCTTGAAATGCGCCTGCCGGTTCCTGGATCTCTAATAGGCAGAAGAGGGAGGGGATTTTGGGGAGTGCAGCCTGGCTTATGAAAGCCAAGGACTGCAGCGCCTGCTGCTGAAATATAAAGGCTTGTAAAATGCAGCATGACATGGAGACAACAGTAGTGTAGCGTTTAAAGCTTCAGACCAACCCGGCTGACCACCTAAAATTATAAACTACGTCTCCCAAGATGTCTCGCGCCGGTGGGGCCAATACGCAGGCGCACACCCGCCCTGCCCCTCTCCCATTTCTCCAGGGAAACCAAAACTACAGTTCCCATCAAACCTCTCGCTCTAGCCAACGTCCGGACCGAGAGTCGTGGTGGGCGTTCCGTTACCAAGGGCGTCCAAGACTCTTACGCGCGCGCGTCCTCCCTCCCTTTCTTTCCGGAAACCCCGTAGTGTCCAATGACGCTTCCAGAAGGGGGGGGGGCGAGGAGAGCGGCGCCCTCGTGAGAGGCTTGTGCGCGCGCGCGCGCGCAGCCGGCCAGTGGAAGCGGCCGTTGGCAACAGCGGCCGACGCAGCCGAGATAGGCGGCGAGGGAGGGCAGGCGCGCGCGGCGCATGCGCGCGACGCCCGCTGCCTGTCGCCGGGCCGTCTGTGTGAGGTAAAAGGAGGCGGAAAGAAAAGGAGCGAGGCGGCGGCGAGGACGAGAGGCGGCGCGTGTGCCCGCCCGCCGGTGGGAGGCCAGAGGGGAGGGACCGCGGAAGGAAGGGAACGAGCGAGCCAGCCGTCGACAGCGGCCGCCGCCGTTGGAAGAAGCGGAGGGGCAGCCGACTGGGCCCAGTCCCGGCCCCGCCGCTGCCATGAACAGCGTCGGGGGCGCCGACGAGATCGGGTGAGAGAAGGGAGGGGGGAAGCGGGGGCGACGGGAGGGTGGCCGCAGTGGGGGGGGCATGAGAGGGGGAGAGGAAAGCGCCGCGAGGTCACGTGGGGCAGGGGGGCCGTGAAGGTGCTGCTGAGGGGCGGCCACGTGGGGGGGGTGAACGGGACTCGGAGCCCCCCCCCGTTCTCGGGGTCGAGGCAAGGCCACGTGCTTGGGGTTGGTGGGCTGAGGCAAGGGGCGGGGAGTTGCCCCCTCTCCTGCTTCCTTCCCCTCTTCCTGGAGAGCCCCCCACCCCGAATTGGCGGGGGCTGCCAGGCAACTTCCTAGTTCCATAAAGGGGTGGGGGGGGGCTGTACTGAGACGCCCCGACCCTCAGTACCTGGGTGGACAGGCAGCAGACAAATGTCTCAAGTCAGTTTGGTGTCGTGGTTAGGAGCGCGGACTCTGATCTGGGAGAACCAGGTTTGATTCCCCACTCCTCCACGTGCAGCTGCTGGTGTGACCTTGGGTCAGTCACAAGTTCTCTCAAGGGCAGTCCTCGAAAGAGCTCTCTCAGCCCCACCTACCTCACAGGGTGTCTGTTCTGGGGAGGGGGAGGGAAAAGAGATTGTAAGCTGTTCTGAGACTCCTTCGGGTAGTGAAAGGTCAGGTGTAAATCTAATCTGTTCTTATTGTTGATCCCTCCTGGGGCTTTCAGGGCAAGAGACATGCAGAGGTGGCTTGCCACGGCCTGCCCCTGCGTAACAACAACCCTGGGCTGCCTTGGTGGTCTCCCATCCCAGTGTTAAGCAGGGGCAGGAGGACAATCTTGGTCTGGGCTATTCAGGCTATGACAAATATCTGTCAGCAGTTTGGTGTGGTTAAGTATGCGGACTCTAATCTGAGGGAACTGGGTTTGATTCCACACACAACTGCTGGATGACCTTGGGCTAGCCATAATTCTGTCAGATGTTCTTGAAAGGGTAGTTTCTGTCAGAGATCCCTCAGCCCCACAGACCTCACAGGGTTTCTGTGGGGAGGGGAAGGAGTTTGTAAGCCACTCTGAGACTCCTCCTCCTCCTATTTCAAATAAAGTAATGGTGGCTTCTTCAGATTTGGTGGGGGGGTCGGCTCTGAGCTGTGTAGGTTCAGTGGTCCG